GTTATCCCAATGCAGCCTGTTCCAGCCCAAACCATTCTTTTTTCAGAAGTTACTATATAGGTCATTAGAGAAATTGTTGAACAGGCCATGTTGTAGGTTATATCTAAACCTTAGGCATTTCAAAAGTGTTTGTTTCTACTGTGGAAGAAAAGGTCACATTACTCAAGACTGTTTTAAGAGATAAAGGGACCTTAGAAGTCAAAAGAGGAATGGCAATAGGAGTTCCCCAAGGAGCAATAATGCACAAAGTGGGAGAGGGAAGGGCTGTGGATCTCAAAGATAGATTTTCTTTTTTTCAGACCCCAAGATCCTAGCTCTGACTTTTCACCCCCTTGTTCCCTTTGCCAATTTTAGAAGTTGAATAAGTACTCTTTCTATTGATAAGGTATCCATTAGAAACTTGACAAATGCTAACTAATTAAAGCTGAGTGTGGTAAGAAATTTTGTTTTAATTCAGAAAAGCAGCAGCAAGAGGCTAAATTTCCCTCCTGCTTTCTCCTTATCCCTAAATCTACCTGTGAACTAGTGGGGGTAATATCTCCTGGGAAGACTTATGGGTACCATTCCCTGCTCTCTGATGATATTGTGCTCCTTACACCCAATATCTGATATCAGGGAAATGTGTTTAAAACTTCAAAATAAGTTTTTGTACTTTATTTATTTTTTTGGTTAGGCAATTGGGGGTTAAGTGACTTGCTCAGAGTCACACAGCTAGTAAGTATTATATATCTGAGGCTGGATTTGAACTGAGGTTCTCCTGACTCTAGGGCTGGTGCTGTATCCACTGTGACATCTAGCTGCCCCAAAGTTTTTATACTTTAAAGCACACTTTCATCAAGGTTTTTCTATAGTGGCCTTAAATGCATCACCTAGAATTTTAGCAATTTATGTTTAAAATGTATTTTACCATTGCAAAAACTTTGCATACGAAATATTGGTAAGATTTGAAAATTATAACTCTTAACTTATGAATTACAAAGTATTAAATCTCTCCAGATTTTAAAATTGAAGAGTAAGTAAGCAGAAAAGAGAGTAAGTATGATTTAGTTTGGAAAACTGCTTTAAGTTGATCACTTTAGACAGAACCCAGAACCCCACTCCTGTACTTCAAGAAGCCTCCTAAAAGTTTTAGTAATTACTGAAAACATTTTTAATGGATTTTTTAAAAAAGGATTTGTCCCACAAATGTCTTCTAGGACTAGGAATAGGCAACACAGTTTCTCTTTTTGGAAAGAGGAGAGAGATTTGAAGCTTTTGATCTAGAGAATATGTGAATTGCAACTACTCAAGCAACAATGTATACTTGTGATAGGCAAATTAATGAAGAAAATCACCTGGGTTGAAATTAACTATCCAGTTTGAGAAAGTAAGGTTGTAGTAAGACATCAGGTTTAACAACAGTATGTGCTAAAATCATGAAGGAAATATTCAATAGAATGAACACAGTTGGGGATATGGTTGAAATGTACAATTTCAAAAGGAAATTTACAGCAAGCCAGACATATGTACAATTTCAAAAAAAAAAAAAAGGGAAACTTGTGTAATCTGAATAACAGGTTTTGAGATTTGGAAAGAGAGAAATAAAAGCTTGAGATAAAATAGGAAAGGTAAATAAAAATTTGTGTTTTTGAATCATAAGACAGATGTACAAAAAATGAAAAGAAGGTTTAAGCGTTTTGAGAGGGTTTGAGGAAGCTTGACTTTGTTTAAATGGAAAGATTGAGAACAATAGCAGTAATGAAAAAAATTGCAGCTTGATTTGAAAACCAATAGAGAAAGTTATGGAGGGCTAGGAGAAAATTGATAAGCAATGGGTTCTTGAACTATGTTATGATGTACTCCCAAGTGTGATAACTAGGGTAGTTTACTTTCACTTTTAAAATCTTTGGCAGTAGAATAGCTGGAAATAGTGAACCTTATAATATGAAATGCTCGGAATAAATAGCCCTTGTATAAAATATAATATTAAATAATAGAAATTAAAATTGAGATTCTGTATGATACCATTTGGAAAATATATCCAAGTATAATTGAATTTATTCTGGTCTCATTTTAAGTGAAATGTATTTCTCTGACAAGTTACTGTACTATTTCGTATTAAGACAAATTAGGAAAATGTATGGATTAGGAAACTTGTTAACTGTGTGGTTTTAAACCAAGTGATCTCGGTTATTTGATTTGCAATGTGTATAAAGATAATGCCTAACATTAACTTGATAATTCATTGTGTTAGAAATATTGTTAGAAAAGTGAGTTTTTCTTTGATTCTCTTGGGTTATAGATTTAATTGTTAAAAGACTGATATAAAGATATCATTAAAAATCTTTAGAAATATAGAAAATAGTAATAATGATTGTGAAGTTGGCATAGGAAGGACCCTTTAAAATGTCCTTATCTGTGAAAGGCTGAATCATAAAATTTTACTAGCCCTGCTAATAGTTTAAAGTAATTCTGAGTGCTGGCCTTTTGAAGCAGATTGACAATTAAGCAGGGAGTTAATATTAATTTAAACTTCAAGATTTAGCTCTACGCTCAGGTTAAAGTACAGTGATTTGATTTTTTTTTTCAGCCAAAGACAAGGTTTATTAGAACATCCATCATACTGGGCATACTCTTAAGGAGTATGTTATTGGCTAGATTTTAAGAATCTAAGCAGTGGCTAGATTTTAGGAATATGAGTTGTGGCTAGTTTACAAGAATCTAAGCATCTTAATGGAGAAAAGGTGGACCTTATATACAGAAAGACTGTGGGAGGGACCTAGGAGTGACCAGTAAGCTGGGGTGAACAGAACTCCTGGGACCTGGACCTCATAGCCAAGGCAGAATAGAGCCTAGCTAGGATTAAGGGTGGGAAATGGCCAGGGGCCATACATAGGGAGGTAAAACAAAGGAAGGCCAGGCTAGGTTAAAGGTAACAGAATTGGGAGGTTGGGTGTAGCCACAATGAAAGGCTAGTTGATAGGATTATAGCCTCAGGCAAATGCCAGAGATTTGGCCAAGTGGGAAAGTCCAGGGTTTTTCCTTCCTGGGGCCCAGATCCCAACCCCATCATTCCCCCCTCAAACAAATGGACCCAAATTCTTTTGGAGTAAGGGGCAAAGAAGTGATTTGATTTTAATTGAGAACTGGAAATTAAAAAAGGAAAAGATTTAGTCTCTACCAATTGTACCAAACTATCCTAAGACTATTCTGCAGCTTTGACTTTAGTCTCCTACTTACCATTGGGTAAGTTGTGTTCACACACCTTTCAGGATGGCGTGTAGGAAGCTCTTTTTCATAGAGTGGTTAGTCTTGGGCCTTGACCATAGTATACATATAACACTATAAAAATATTGGTTATTGTGACCTGCAACTATTATATAGGACCGTAAATGTTTCATTGTATTGTTCAAATTGAGAATTATTTAATTAACTCTTTCTATGAAAACTCTTAAAGTTTTCTGCCTGGGGAAAATAGGCCATGCCTTGTCAGCATCAGATCAAACTCCCTAGGGCTCTTCTTCCTCGGCCAAAAATCAGTCAACTACAATCTTATAATATTTAGCCCAGCACATTTTAAGTTAACCTGATGATAACAGATGTGAATTCAAGTGGGTAAAGCTTTATATGTATTTCCTAATATTGTTAATGTAAAATTAAATATATGTCTATATTGTGAAACTTAATAATACCAACATAGTTAAAAAACTAGACTCTCTTGTAATTTGTATATTGTCAGGTTGTAAATTCAGTGTTAAGAATATTTTATTTTATTTGGGTTACAACAATGGAAAAAATTTTCTTTGTTGTTTTATCTGATAATATGTTTGACATAGTATAAGTTCTATAATGCTTAATCTATCAGGATGGATTTTTAAGCTTTTTTTTAAGAAAGAGAAATACTAGTAGAAAGGAATGCTAAGTAAAAAGCTTTTGTGTAACTTTTTAGAAGGCCTGATAAGTTTTTATTTGCTAGATAATTTATTGCAACAAGTTGAGAGTGTTGATAACAGTTGGGTCCAGCCCTACTGTGATTAGTGAGACTTTGCCATTTGATGTGAAATTTTTTTTGGGACCCTACATATTCTTTTTGAGCTGTTATAATCATGCCTCTGCTTCTTCCTCTCATAGCAAATGTTTCTTTTTTTATTTTTTTATTTTTATTTTTAGGCAATTGGGGTTAAGTGACTTGCCCAGGGTCACACAGCTAGTAGGTATCAAGTGTTTGGTCTGAGGCTGGATTTAAACTCAGGTCCTCCTGACTTCAGGGCTGGTACTCTATCCACTATGCCACCTAGCTGCCCCCCCCCCTTTTTTTGCTTTTTGGTGAGGCAATTGGGGTTAAGTGACTTGCCCAGGGTCACCCAGCTAGTAAGTGTCAGGTGTCTGAGGCCAGATTTGAACTCAGGTCCTCCTGACTCCAAGGCCAAAGTGCTATCCACTGCGCCACCTAGCTACCCCCATAGCAAATGTTTCTAACCAGGGTAAGTTAAGCTGTGATTTTTTTTATGATGAATATCTTATTATTTTCAATTTGAGACCAGAGTCAATATTCATGCTCAACCATATGTGAACCTTAATAACAATCCACCCAAAGCTTTGATTGTATGAATTTGCTGTTAAAGGTTAAACTTTATGGGACTATAATTGTTATTATTCTGAGTCTGATTTCAGGCATGATCATCAAGAAATGCTTTTGAGTCAGTGATCTAGGATGCTAGTAGCCCTATGGGATTAACATCTATGAACTACAGATGGAATTCTCATGAGGAAGCCTAGGAGAATGACTCTTGGCATGGGCTGAGATAGGATTTAACTGACTCAATTTTCTCAGTATATTTTCTTCTGAATGGAAAGTTTCCCACTTGTCTGACTCTAAGTCTGACTATGACATTTTTTCAATACAATTGCCTGCTTATGTGACTGTAGCATGGAATTGACATCAGGTTAGGCGAACATTTTCCCTTTACTATAGCTATGTTCCTATTTTCATTTTATGGCAAATTTCTATATCATGGCAGGTGATCAGTATGAACACAAGATTAAATCTTTATTTTGAAGGCCAATACTGGAGCACATCTGAGCTACTATGAGCTATTCAGCTTGGAATTATAGTCCTTTTTATATTCTAAATAAGTAAGTAGATGAGTGTTTGGCCTTGTCATCTTTCTGTCACTAGTTATATATTCCTGTATAAGTTCCTTTATTATGTTACAATGGCATGGGAAAAATTAGGCAATGATATAAAGATCTGTGAGACCAGTATGTAATTCTATTATTTAGTGAGGTTAATATCATAAATGGTTTCCATACTGTGTTAAGGAAAAAAATTTCCTTGTGATTAGTTATCTTAAGAGAAGAGTGACTTGTGGGTCTATCTTGTGTTACCTCACAGAGATATTTAATTTCACTCAGGGTTATTCATTTGAACATGGTTAGTAACTAAACATGTTTTATTATAAACAACTTATTTCCAAACACTGTTTTGAAATAGATTACTCAATGTATTTATACATTCCATCCCAGAATCTTTTGCTATATTTGAAGTTAATTTCACAACTTCTAAATGAATTCATTTTTGTATTAGAGGCAATTTTCTTATAAAAAGTGTTTTGTTATTAGTTCCTTAGCAGAACCTCATCCTTCTAAGGAGGGGAATGATCAGATAAAAGTAAATAACTAGAGTAAATAACAAAATAGAGTGAAAATTTTGTTTATATCTATATGTATACACACACATATATTTGTGTGTGTATGCATGTGTAAAACACAAGATCAGATAATTATATATGCCAAATATAAAAACTGAGTTCAGAATTTTTTAATTTTTCAGTTATTTGAATTTCTTAAACAGATCAACATAACAATTTGCCAACTTGCATCACAAGGCAATTATGGGTTCCTTCTCTTTCTAGGACTTGAATCCAAGGTGAAGAAGGAAATAGATGAACACCAGAAGTTAAATGATGGTGGACTCAATGGCAATTTAAAAGGTACTTTTTAGCCCACATAACTATACTGGCATTCATAACCAAAAGGGCTCATTCTACCAGTCAGATGCTCATAGATTCTTCTTCTTTTTTTTTTTTTGGCTAGGCAATGGGGTTAAGTGAGTTGCCTAGGGTCCCACAGCTAGTAATCAAGTATCTGAGGCCAGATTTGAACTCAGGTCCTCCTGACTCCAGGGTCAGTGCTCTATCCACTGCGCCACCTAGCTGCCCCACATAGATTCTTTTAGATTTTCCTTCCAGCCTGTTGCTGGCTGGTTGAGATAAGAATAGGAGCACCAAGGAATATAGAGAAATGTAAATTCTCTGGTCTAGAGGTTCCTAACTTGATGTTGTTATTAGAACTCTGAGGTCTGAGCTAACTCTCACTACCTGACGTGATTATTGGCAAAGCAAAGTTGAATTGTATTAAGATCTATTTTGCAAGAAATTTTAATAGGAAAGAGGGTCTCTGTGAGTGATGTGAACTGGAGAAGCAAATCCACTAGAAGCTGCTTTGAAACCCCATACATTCCAGCATGGCTAAGAGGATCAGAGGACTACATCAAGAGATGTTTCAGAAACCAGACAGCTAAGTGAGATGATACTTCTGAGCCCTAAAATGTGATGGACTGATGAAATAGTGGGAATGGGTTACTGAGAAAGAGACTGTGCCATTATCTTTTGTAAGGCACGTTTGCCAAAGGGAATTGCCCTCAATGGCTCCTGTCAATGAATAGAGTCAATCTCTCTCCTTCTTCCCCTTATATTATTTTTCATTATAAGCCCCGTGGTTAAAAACCCTTGATGAAGTGTTTGTCATGTCAGTTAGTGATTCACTGAGATCTCTCAAGTGAATCAAAGGGGAGAATGAGAGAAATTATTTCACTGTTATATTAGTAACTAATTATTAACTTGTGATCCTCCCTTTTCCCTCTTATTTCTGTTAAAACCCATGTCTTGAAAAGGTCAGTTAGCCTCTGAAGGGCATGGTTGAATGATGAAATTTGCTCTTAGCCTTCAAGGTACATGTTCATTAGTTGAGTGGGAAACTCTATCTCTCAGGGTTTTCATTCATCACACACACACACACACACACACACACACACACACACACACACACAC